AGGAGAAATCAAAAAATTGGAATCGAATTTTCAATGATAATCTCAGAGAAGAATGATGAATTGATGATGGTCACTTCCGTTACGAGACATTTCACCCTCTTGCTCGTCATATGGACATTTTGAAATTCGTCATTCCCGGACATGGAAACGCGATGTAACGCGTTGGATCACGTGTAATTATGACAAATAACCGTAATTATTATGCGGCTTTATTATTATCCGATTTCACACGATGTCTTATCTCTGTGGTGCAACATATGTCAGTAATTTATCCTGTGTTCCTTGATATATCAGTAGTTTAAATTGCATCGTGAAGCTACAGAAGCTAATTTTCCCAAGTATGCTTGGAAATTAGATGTGAAAAAAAAAATCTTCAAATTTCTCTTGTATATTTCTCCAATTAAAATTAAAATATTTGTCTGGCTATATATATATATATTTTTTTTTAATATAATTGTTCACATAACATCATGGAAAGAATATCATGTTTTGAAAAATTAATACAAATACTGGTATTGGATTTTGACGTTGTATTATTATAAACAAAATAATTTGATGATAGAAGGAGGATAAAATAAATTGTTACGTCCTACACGTTGTCAGTAAATCGGAAACGCCTTCTTCATTATGATCATATAATCGGTGACAAGCAATTTATGATGAGTAATCCAGATTGGAAGTGAAGTTGAAGTAATAAAAACTGGATGATCGTTAATAGCGCCCATACTACGATGAAAGAGTTACTTATTTCTCAATAAGTATATACATCTAGTAAATAATCTTCGTTATTTTCAAAATCCGTTATATCGAACAGCTTGGACTTAATTTTAGATCTTATCAATCTTATCAATTTTTCAAATCAGCTATTTCATATAATTGAACATAAATGTTAATATCTATTATTAAAAAGAAAATTATATTTTTAATGAATTCCTTCTATGAATTCCAGAAATTAGAACGTATCAACGGTATCTTTATATTTATTTAACTTTGATCAACTTTATTAATTTTTAATCTTTCTGAATTTTTATTAAAAATATATATAAATAAATTTTCTATCCATAATTCCTTCTTTCGATATAAAAGGATAAATTAAATAAAGGCAGATAAAGGAAAAATCAATAAAATCTTTGTTCTACAAGACAATTAAATTTCTCTATAATTCTTTGCATAATATTTTAGAATATCTTTTATATCTTTTTTTATTTTATTTTTTTTAGTTAGTAGTAGTAGTAGTAGTAGTAGTAGTAGTAGTAGTAGTAGTAGTAGTAGTAGTAATAGTATATTACACTACTATTTAATCGTATTTTTTTCCGTTCATTAAATTCGACCCAAAGATAATAACGAACTATGGTTTCGAATCCTGCCAGACGAGACCACAAAGGGTTAAATTGCACGTGGATCACGCATGTACACGCGTTGCGTCATTCGTGCGTGCGCATGCGTACACGTCTACGCAAAGCACGCGTACACACGATACGCACTACCGCAATACCATGAATACCCAGTAACGTATCAAGTTGTCCCCTTCGCCCCCACTCACTTCCTTCCTTCTTCTTTTCCTTCTTTTCCCAAGTAACTTCTTTAGATCCTTGAACGTGACTTAGTTTACAATGTTTCTCATGTTACATTTACACGCATCGTGTTCAGTCAGAAATTAAATAACGTAATGTAAGGAGTAGATTATCGTCTCGATTAATAATTTGAATTATTGATTTAGTTATTTTGAATATAAAAATGTGCAACCAATTTGTCAGATATAAAGAAATAAATTTATAATATCTCTCTGAAAGTCTAGAAGAATATTTGGAAAGGATCCAAACGTTAAGATTTTGACGTTTGATAAAATGTTAAGATTTATTTTTTCATCCGTTGCCAGTTAACCATACGAAATACCGTATTATTAGAAAAACCAACTTGAAGATAAACCTCGACTACTGATTCGTATGTTAATACCATTAAGTCTTGTTCCAAGCAAATGACGATGAATATATGAATTTATATTGTTGAATAATTTATTATATACGAATTCTTGCATTTAAAAAACGTAGTTTTATTCTATGCTCAAGATATTTCTTATAAATAATATATCTATGAATTAATTCTCACATTTTTTATTATTAAAATATATTTTAATATATGTTGTAATCATTGATACACTGCATATTAAGTGTTATTTTTTTAAAAAGGTTAATATCGATTGTATGTATTTTGCATATTTTGACATTTTGCATCATTTTTTGATAAATTAGAATTTTCAGACGTTTGGAATGCAAATAATTTTGAAAAAAAAAAAAGTTCGCAACCAGCGATGCGATAATTTTTTATATATCCTCTCTTATCTTCTTCACATGGAATGCGTCCATTCCGGATGTTGGCAATCAGCTTTTCTATTCTCACTTTGTCAACCGGTCCGAACCAGTCTCCGAGATTTTTGAAATGTTCACGTTCTTCTCTTCCTGGTCCCCCCTTTTTTTTTTCTCATCAATCGTTGAATTATTATTCGTTGCAACTGGTATTTGATGCAAATATAGTATGCACAAAACATATTATTTTATATATTCAAAGTAAAAGAATATGCAGAAATATGGTACGTAATAATCAAGATTCATAATGGATATTTTTAAAAAATAACAAATTTAACATTTCTTTTTACGACAAGATCTCTTTCTATAAAAAAATAAAATATTAACATTATATATTGTAAATAACTTAAATATTATATCATAAATTAAGATATTTTAATCATTTTTAAAAATTTTTTATATGCGAGAAAGAAAAAATTAAATTATCAATAAATAGTTGATTTTAATTAAGTTCTTCCTTTATTCTTAAATATTCGATCGAGATTATGTCCCTATTACCACTTCACACACTTATTACACATCCATAGATCTGCACCTGTGACATACCATGTGTGTAGAACTCGAATATTCCACGTCTCGTGGTGTGCTCCTTGTTCTTTCTGTTCCAACCTCGGTATCGACTCTCTCTCTCGATTTCGTGCTCGATAACGCATATCGAGGTAAAAGCTAACAGGAAGTCCAGTTAAATAGTAATATAAAGCAATATTGACCTATTCAACAATGTTTGTCCAATACATCTTTTTCTTTCTTCTTTCTTTCTTTTTTTTCCTTTCAACATCATTTTGTATTATTTAATTATTAGAAATTCTTTAAATAACGATAAATATAACACGTTAGTAATTAATAAAACTGATAGTAATATAATAAATTTTAATAAGTAATTCTGAAACGAATTCAACAATACATAATAAGATGTCTTTATAAATAATAATCTCACTGACAAGTATTGTAATCGCATTCATTTGACACGCAAAACATACATTCAAATTTTTGTTCAATCACTCTAAAATTCCCTATACGGTATATGTATACATATGCAAAGATAGAAGAATGGAAAAAGAGGGTTTCTAACATTCCAACCGAGTAAACTCGTCTCTTCGTGAGAACCTGATTTCGTAAACCGTCACCAGATCCATCGTGGAAAAATGCAAATACACAAGTGCAACCGTCGCATCGTTGCATCATCTAACCTAACACACGAGGGCTGATGCTCGCGCCATGACACCAGATATTCCAATAGGATATAATAAAAGTAACTAGATGCAGGCTCACCAGAGGGCAGACCGAGAGCACCGACTTGTTTTAACCTATGTGTACGAAGTTGTCTCGCCGGGTAGCCCCGATCATCGACTATCAAGACAACCGCAACAAACGAGTTACTTTATAAATAGTAAACGTCGTATCCCTGAAGTGGATCGTTGGCCTCCCGCGGAATCGTTACGTTTACGCTCGCGTACGCACCGTACCGTGGCGTGCGTAGCATTGCGTCGTTGCACCGTCACGCATTCCATGACACACAAGCATGATACGAGTATATGTGAGCATTGATGAGACATTACGTGTACATGTATAACCCTTTTTACCAAGCGACTTCTGATGACCACGAGTGGCTTGAGGATCGGCAAGTGACTAGGTATAGAAGGGCAATTTTTTTTTCTTTTTCTCCACGCCAGAAGCTACATTATAGAAACGTTGAGAAGTTACGAAGCGGTTGATTCTTAGCGATTTCAGTGACCTCGAGATGTTTTGTCGAGGTCGACAACCTGAGAATAATTTTGTCTATAGATACAAGATCATCTCTTGACTTCAGTTTTAGAGAGATACATATGTTAACTGTTATTAATATTTATTATGTTTATAAGATTTAAGATATTCTTATTTAAAATTTAATAGCATTTAAGAAATGACAGAATTTAAAAAATAATTTATTTAAGGTTATAAATATTTATATATAATTAATATTTAAATCTTAATTGTTATCACATTTCAGCATAATATTAATTATATTTATCGTTAAATAAATTATTTTTTAAAAAGTGCTTTTTTAAAAAATAAAAAATTAAATGCTTATTAAATACGAGTTATTTTTGTATTCTATCATGAACCATACTTATCTATACGGTGCAACTTATAGAGTCTAATCTACTACTTGACGATCAGTCGCGTAAAAATCACGCCTATACCACTGCGCGTCTTTGTTTCATTCACTTACAATGACGCATCACGTTATTGAGTGTATATGCGCTTATTATTTGCTCTTTATTATGAAGTTTTATCTCTTCGAGGATGAAAAATTAATAGGAGATGAATTAAAAAAAAATAAAAACTTAATAAGAAAAATAATAAAAAAAATTAAAATTTTTTAAAATACTATACATATAGAAATTTAAAATAAATATAAATCTTTGATATATTATTTATAAATAATTCGTCTCTTTATATAAATAATTTATGGAATTAAAGAATTTGTAAATTAATTATAATTTCATGTATCAGTATATATTTTATAAAATATATAATCTAATAATTCCTATTCTATTTTTCGAATAATTAACGTAAGAAAACAAGTGATTTAAAAAATTAACAATTATTTAAAATATTTAAAAATTTTAAATTCTTTCAAATATGAAAAATTCATGTGATTTTCATCCTAACCTCTATATTATATAAACTCTTGATTTTCAAGTAGTTTTAAATTACCAGAAAAAAAATCCCTAGTAATCTCCGTTCTAACCTCCGCATCATTATTTCCTCGATATCGATCAAAAGAATTTAAGACTTATCCACAAAAAAATTTTCGATTCGAGCAACGATAATATTGCTAATGGCAAATTCATTAAGCGAGACCCGCGAGGCCATCGCGCTTTATTTGGCAAACTGTACGAAAGTCACGTCACGTCACGTCACGCCGTTTCGTAAGAGATACTTTACTTTCAGAGCCTTGAGTAGTAGCGTGTATAGTATACCCCACCAAATTCAATGGACTTTTAATCAAGCCGAAGGACGCGTAGTACTCCACGTAGTATAGCCGCCGTGTAATTTCACGGTCGAGAGAAAACGAGGGTACTACGACGTACTCGAGCGAGCAACGCATCCGCGGGAAGGAAGGAACAGTGAGCGTATGTGTACACACATTTACTACGATCGAGAACGGCGATACACAAACGGCCGAGGAAACGAGCGTAGTATGCGAGCTTAAATGGGCCTTGCGTGGATAACGCAGGATATTTAATGCGGGTTGAGACCTATAACAGGAACAAATAATATACGTAATATGACGGAGGAAATATTCGATACGTGGTATTTAACCTTTGACTGGTTGTGATTGGGTCGTTTGCGACCTGAGCTGTGAATAAAAGGAATAATGCACGTTTGGAATTTCTTGTAGTATATTTAAAAAAATATTTTAATGATTAATATAAATAAAATATATATGTAAATATAAGTGAAATTTCTTTTTAGTTTTCTTCAAAATTTTATTAACAATAAATATATTTTCACCTCGAAGCAGACATCTTTCATTTTTATCATTCTATACATAAAAAGATTATATTTAAGTTAATGTAATATAAATTAAGATTATTCTAATCCAAGCTTATATTTTTTAGTCACATTAATGAATATGTTAATATATATAATTTAAAACAAACAATAATTTTTATCATCTTAATAATTATTAAAAACAAAAAGGAAGAAAAATAATAAGCTCTGATATTACAAGAACTTAATTTTAAAAAATTTTCATATAATTGTATGTTTTTAACGTTTATCTTAATTATGTTTCAACGTAACGGATCCCACGGTAGCGCATACTTGCGAAACACTCGATATCGTTTGTGATATGAAAAATATCCAATATGTAAATTACGCAGTGTAATAATATCAAGCTTATTAAATACGGAAAGTGAAGGATGTCCATATATTGAATGTGATATGAACAATATATATATATATACACGTATGCATATATAATATACATATTTACGATGTTAACGTATATCAAATATATAATGTATACGATATTCATCACATCAAACACATACGAGAAAAAATTTTTTATATATTCATATCATGTGTTGTGTGAAATATTTTAATATACGATTCGCAGCATTTAAAAATAATTTTAAACGTAAAAGTACTTTTAAAATTTCAATTTTGCATTTTATTCTAATTTTAGGTTATGCCAATAACCTAAATTTTCGACATTATTCAACTTTTGATTTCAATAATTTCTAATAATGCTATAATGAAAAGAAATTCGGAGTTAAAGTAATTTCTTAAATTAATAACTATTTAAAAACTTTAAAAAGATAATATACCCAATATCCAATCTAATTATAAAAGATTAAAAATCACAAACAACAATGCAGTTTATACAGTCTTCTATACGACAGAGAGTTATTCCCTTATTCGTTTCTATGCATTATTGGCACACCTACCCATCCACCTACGTCCAACCCTTTGAAATACATTCCCAATACGAAAATTTCGCCAACGTAACAAGGTGGATAATGGCGATCGTCTAAACACATCCTGTTCTCTTTTGATTGTTGCAGAGGTGGGAACAGTTGGTCGTATCGAAGCTGAAATGGGAATTATCCGCTGTAACACCTGGTGACTTTCTGATGCACATCCTAAGCAGATTGCCAGTACCACGTACTTGGGATCCAGTGATGGTCAGAAGGCACGCGCAAACCTTCATCGCCCTTAGTGCAAGAGGTGAGAAATGATTGGGATTATACTGAACCGCCATATTTATTTATGTATGTGGGACGAATGTGCGTGACGCATGCGCATGCGCTCCACCATAGAAAATTTAAGAGAACTAAGATAAATAATGTGAACAGTTTCTTTATTCTGGCAGCCATAGTGTGAAATAGATTTGTGTTGGAGAAGATTAGGTTAAGTTTCAAAATTTCGGATAATTTATGTTGAATTTGTATAAAAGATATATGTAGAGCAATTTTCATTTTAAATTTTATGATATATGGGATTCTAGCAACAAGTATAAGTTATTAGTTTGAATTTGTTTGAGTTATATGTATTGTGTATTGATAAATTAATTTAAGGTATGTATACAAAATAATAATTCAATCTTTTTGAAAACGGAGATAAATTTGTATTTGTGTGAGTTATTAATGTTTTTTAAATAAAAAGAATTATTCGAACGGATACTGTTTTGAATATAACAAGGTTGCTCAGCTTATTAGGTTAATAGATTTCACATTAAAAATTGCATAAGAAAAAGATCATTCACAATTTTATGTCAAGAACATGATTTACGTTGGAAATCGGAATTTTAAGTATAAAATTATTATTAACACATTGTTATAAAACAAAAAATATTTAACATTTGATTTAAGTTTCTTTAATCAACATATATTTAACCTCCATTTATAATAGAATTTATTACGCAATTAATTTTAATTAATTTTTCAATATGAGTTTTATTGAAAATTTAAATACACAAAATATACATATAAAATTGAAACAAAATTAAATTTAAATACCATTTTTTTCGACATTTACACAATGTTATAAGAATTAACTTATATATTATTAGCAAATTTTAAATACAAGTTACACAAATTTCCTAATTTGCACATTTTCAAATTTCAAATTTTATCGATATTAGAAGAATTCATCTATTAGAAATTATAATCATGTGGAGCAGCGCGTGATAAATACCATATGATTTAAAATGCAATTTTTACACGCGAGTCTTCATTGTTAGTCTCATTAGAACCGTGCCATGGCATCGTAAACAATCGGGAACATGCATCGTTAACTCACGCGTTAATGAATATGCCGGTGCGTAGTATAATGCACCCGGTGGAAACCATCACGTAACTACTTTGAATCGATTCTATGCGTTTCGTTTTTTCTTCCTCTCTCTCTCTTTTTCTCTATACCCTTGTATCTTCATTTCTTTTCGCTTCATTTAACGGGTCATACGATACGTAAAAATTGTCATAAAGATTATCATAATGAAAGTGTAAAAATGTGATTTATATTTCGCGCGTTTTACTTGATAATTTGATAGATTTTTAATTCTTTTAATAAATTTTTTATAGATAATTTAATAAAAAGATGCGTAAAATAAATTATTTGACATAAATTGATAATTTAAAACGGAATAACTGGAATAATGCATCGTGATGTATCATAACCTCAATTTTATGATATTATTTACATTTATAAATTATATTTAATTATTTTTAATGAGTACTTGAAGTATTAAAAAAAAATAAAGGAAAAAAAAATCAATTATATATAGATATATATAAAATATGTAAGTATATACTATACTTAATTTCTGGTTAATTAAATTTTTCTTGATGATGAAATCATTGAAATCATGATCTTTTTTTTGTGAATGTGATTACACATACAAATGTAGCAAAATAGATAAAAAAAAGTACAAACTTAATCTATTTTCTATTGCAAATATTTTTAATTTTTTAATTGAATTCTTGAAGATTGTATTTTAACAAAGATATTGGCTCACTTATTTTGCAGCTATGTATATTATACAATGAAATTTTCCATTTTGTATATCATAAATCATATGATTATCCTGTTATTTATCTCATTTATTATATTTTTTATTATATTTTTCACATTCTTTATTATATTTAAAATGGAATTATAATTTTATTGTTGTAATTCGATCATCAAAAGTTATTTAAACGATTATCTATATTTATCTAAAACAGAAATTACCAAATTGGAATCATCAGAATCTCGTCGGAAAATTGCAGAACAGAGAGAAGAGTTAAAAAGAAAGGAAGAGAATTTGAGAAGGAAGAAAAGAAAAGGAATGAGAAGAAGAGAAAGAAGAAGGGGGCGTCGGACATGACGAGATCGCGAGACACGTTTAAATCCCCTTCTGGCTGCTTCCAGTCGGTTGTTATTACAAGCGGGGATGGCAAAAAGCAAGGACCATCGTCCTTCGCCGTCTGGCCGACTCGGTGGTCCCGTGTGGAGAAGGAGAAAAGACTAGAAGCGGGCCGGGAGACGATGATTGTTTCTCACGAGCCAAACTAGGTAGCTCGGCTGAGTCCAGTTCGAGTCGGTTGACCCTCTTTTTCAGCGACGAAAAGAGAAGCAAACGGCGCCACGAATTCCAGCCGCTTCCTTGAATCGCGGAAGGTCCGTGAACCTGCCTCCCCATCTCCTTTTTTGATTCCACGCCCTTGCGACACACGATTGACGCGATTCAAAAAATTGTTTTCGAGATGCAACCGACTAATGCAATGAATTATTAATATTCATTCTGAATTTAGTATTTTTCTTTTTTTCTTTTTTTGCTTTGTTGATTTTTTTGTTTGATATCTTGAATATATACATATAGTCAAATCTATATCAAGTTGATGATTTAAAATGTTAAATTCCATTTTGTGATTTTTTTCGAATCGAATTAATATGTAATTTTGGAATTAGTTTTTGGTGGTAAACTCTAATTATAAAAATTTTTAAAAGTTAAAATTTTTTATATTAAAAAAACTATTTTCATTAAAATAAATCAACATATTTGCAAAAGTGTATATACATACGTTTTTATAGCAAAAAAATATAAAAATCTTTCAATTATCATATTGAAAAGAAAAATTTGATCTTATTTTTTATGCACTTCAAGAAACTGATATTTTTTTTAATGCATCAAACTTCTCACATGCTATAATCCATTATGAATTTTGAAGAGAATATAATAAAGATGTCAGATGAAAAAGTAAAGAAAAGATTTTAATTTAGTCGTCAGGAGCGAAGAAAAGAAAAGGAGAAAGACAGCAAAAATAAAAGAAATGTAGAGGCAAAAAGATATTAAAAAGGAAAGGAACTAAAAAAGCAGAATATAAGAATAGGGAACCCAAGAAAGAGGGTATTGAGAAAGCATAACCAGAATGAAATGGTACGAGAATGAAAAGAAGCTTAAAGAAAGATGGAAAAGAGACATCCTAAAGAGAACAACAGTAAATACGAAGCAAAAGAGAAGGAAAGATAGAATATGCGAAATAGAACTTCAAGAAAGATTCATCAAGAAAAGAGAACTAAAATCTTGAAAATAAAACAACAGAAGTTTCGACGAATATTGAATTATATTAAAAAAAAAACTCAACTTCTGTCAGAATAATTATAAAAAAAAATAAAAGAAAAAGAGAAAAGAAAATCAAAATGAAAGAAAATTAAAAAAATACAAAATTAAGGAATGACATCAAAGAAGCTCTTAAAATATAAACTTTTCTAAAAAGATTTTTTAAAAAATTCCATCTAAAACAGAATGAAATTTAAAATTGAAATTAAAATTATAATGAGGAAAGCATAATTAAATATAATCAAGAAATAATTAAAAATAAAAAAAAGAAGTCGGAATCAATTGAATAAGGATAATCTTCATACAGGAATGCCGTTTACCAATAATAATTCATGATCCATGAGGATCTGCACAGACTATAAGAATATATAAGAATATATGTATACATATATATGTATAAATTTCTTTTTCTTTTTTTCATGGTTCTGCAAATTTAAGAGCGGCTTTGTGGAATTCCATTCTTAATGTCTTTATTACGCTGTGCGCGCGCGCGTATGCGCTCACATATACATTGCCTGTTCAATTTCATCTCGTCCATCGGATATTTCGGTTGTCCAGGAACCTGTTCCCATCTTTCCATGAATGAATAGCGTTCGCATTTGAGAAAAATCCGGACAAAACATGCGCCGGTATATTATTGATGTAAAAGGATGAATACGATCACGTCAATGATTATCACGTTTATTGTCGACCTCAAGGTGCGCTTTACGATAGTTCGCTCGTCAACCATGATGCTGAATTGCTTGCACTAAACGTATTTCATCAAACGGATCGATTTAATGACATATCCAGTCGATCTTTTTTCGCTTATTCAAGTTATATTTATTGAATATAATTTGCATTGCAATGCCGTTTGTAAGTCTCCTAATACTTGATAAAATTTTTTAAGTTAAAAAACATATTAAAAATTTATATTAAAAAAAATAATGTGATCATCTCAGGATTATTTTCATAAGTATGATAAAAAATAATATTTGTCATATCAATATCAATATCAATGAAAAATAACATTTTTTTTATTTTCAAAAACATTTTTTATTCTCAGTTCTTGTATCCTTTTTTTTTTCTCAGTTCGTAAATTATTCTTAAAAAAGGACATTAACCTTTTCTAAAACAACAAAGGCATTAGAAAGTTTCAGGTCACTGTTTTTTTGGCTAGAAGAAGATACCGTTAAGAGATGTGCCAACGATTATCATTTGGAATTCGTATCTTTAAAACATAGATACCATAGCCAATCGGCTTAATTGTTCGTTAGTTTATGTCCGGTTTTCATTGGCGATCATTGGCATTCATAGCGATGTTAAGGCTAGCACATCATGTCTAAGGTGGTAAAAGCTTTAACTTATAGCTATGTAGTAAACTCAAAGCGATAGAGAAACGAGTATGTGACTGAAGAGAGATTGTGCGATAGTATTTGTTCTGTTGGAATCTTTGGGCTTGGTCCTCCCGAAGGTCGCACTTTTCAACGTTATAAATCTCATTTCGAATGCCCTTTTCCTGGGACGTGTCTACCTGCGGTTCTATTAGCAGATTTTAGCCTTGAACAATTCAAAGAATCGTTAGACGGAATTCTAGGATTTGTTTCATGATCATCCTAATGTAACTTTTGGAAAATATTTTGAATAATTATTTATTCTTATTTTTTGGTTAAGTTTGTTTAATGCTTTCGATATTTCGGCAGGAGATGTCCCCACCTGTTTTGGGAAATTGGATACTTCGTATGCCGTATGGGTGTTACTTGGAATGACTGAGACGTGTGTTTGGAATTAAAGGAACGATCTAAGGAATTTTGTGTGCACATGGTGAATGTTTTATATTAAACAATGATTAGATTTTCTCACAGAAAGAATTATTTTAAAAGGTAAAAATATATACATATGCAAGTAAAAATGTATGTACATTATGACCAACAATAGAAGTTTATTTTAGAAAGAATTTTATCGATAATGAATATTTTGAAAGAATTAGAAATGTTAAATTCCTATAAAATCAACTTTATATTTTTATTACCATCAAGTCAACAATATCACGATTTATCACACAAAAAAGAAATTTTAAATATTACTAATGCAATTTATATTTATTTTTACAGAGTACAAATTCTCGATGTATACACCAAGCATGATAGCGGCAGCGAGCGTCGCGGCAGCCCTTCACGGACTCGATTGGACAGGGAAAAGCGGTTACGGACTGGCCGGCCTCCTCGACGAGCTAACTCGCATCACGGCTATCGAACAGGTTTGTCCTCGTGTTGATATTATTGTATGATACACGAGAATAACCTCATATAGCAGTGTCAAGGAATAGATTTAATCTCAACTTGGTTTGCACCCGGTTTACCCCAAGTGTCGGAAGTAAATGTCCTATGACAACCTTATCTTCTATATCCCCTGTCTCCTTCTGTATAAAACATGTAAGTTTATCAAACATTTTTGTTTAATTATAAACAGATCAAATAAAATTACAAAATTCTGTTGATTCTTTCTATTGAACTTCTTATCTTTTTTCTACTTTGAGGTTAAGTTGTTGATTTTTTAAATTTTTTAAATAACTGCAATTGCAAATCCTTTATTTTTATGAATATATAAAAAATGAATTTATAAATGTGATTATATCAGATAAAAATCTTATAAAAATACATCTACAGAAACCACACTCAGACTATCCCGACTATAAAAAATACTATTGGAAACAAATATTATATAAATGTATTTTGAATATCTTTTAAGTTAACAATAAGCCAATGTCTATTTTCTATATAAATTTTAATTTTTCAGTCGTTGATGTGTTATTAAATTACAATATTATAAGAATAATTCATCAAAAAATCATATAGACACTATCATTTTTACACTTTCTTAAGAATCTCAACGGTTCGAGGTTATGAATGAACAGAGGGGGCAGGTGGTCAACATAGTTCTTAGTACGTTCTTCCTGTTTCTAAACACATGTGGTCGTCGAAAATATTGCGCTTACAGGGCGTAGACCCCATGCCGAGCCATTCACGCATGCACTTTATTTGCACTCGGCGCATTATGAATGTATAGTCTGCGCGTGTTTCGAATCGTCTTTTCCCTTTCTTGTCACGCTGTCGGTTTTTTCTCTGTAAACATGTGCCCGACACCTGCTACACTCCGTTCATCAGCACGTTTTTGCGCGACGTCTTCGCTGGATTCGCGAACGATCTCTCAAACTGTCTCTTGAAAATTCTTTGTATCGATCAAAGTTATAAAGTTGTAAATTCGATTAATTAATTACATTATTTCGCAAATTTTTGTTCTTCTATTATATATAATAAAAAAAAAAACTTGAAGAATAATACGATATACATTAAATAAAATTACATAAATAAAATAAAATTAATTAAGTATATAATAAATGAATGTTATGATAAAAATAATTTTTAAACTTATTATCCTTATTTTTGCAGGATTATTTGCAAGGTTGCCTGGAACAGATTGAGGAGATGGTCTCTCAAGCAGTGGGTGCTGATGGTGCCGGCGGAAATGGTCATCAGATGACTGGATCATCGGGTGCATCGCAAAGGCCTCTGGGGGACGAGATAACCAGCCAGGAAAAGATCCTGGAACACGAGAAGGCGGGAACACCGACCGACGTGAGGGACGTCCATTTTTGAGAGACGCCACTGAGGGAAACTCTGGCCAGGGTGACTCTCTGCTGAGCCTAGAAGCCGAGGAGGAAAGGATACCCAGTAGCGAGGAAGACGACGATGCTGGAAAATCCTCGGTCAAGAAGAGAATCGAAAAGAATGAAGAGAAGAAATTCGAGCGAGAGGATATGCAAGAAAATTCCTGAAGAAGATACACACACATATAAGGAAAAGGACACAGAATATACGAATATGTTATGCTTGCTCGACCGAATCATTTGATTTCCCTTCGTCATCACTGTGAACAAAATCGTCTTCGAAAAGAGAGAGACATCTCAGAACGTGTTCGATATTATAGTGTTCTGTACGGATTTTGTACATTCGTCGTGAAGATTTATCGAATTAAGGATAATCGAGGGATTAGAGACTAATTTTTTTTTTTCCTCTTTTTGTCAAATCCTTCTGTAGTGTGTTTTAATTGGAGGATTAATTTATCGCCATTTAAGTGGGCGATTTTTTGAACGATGGAAGATTATTTTTCACGTGCTCGATTTGTGAGAGCTCATTGATGCAAAAGAGCGAAATATACGAATTTTAGCCGATCTGTATAGATAAAGCTATCCGATAGCTGTTATAGTTTTTACTCAAGGATCGAGCAACGATCCATATCGAGTATCGTCCCAATCGTAATTCCGCGTGCAGAATCTTTTATATATGTATACATATATACATATATATATATATATATATACATATATATGTGTATATATGTAGAGAGTCGAGTGACGAATACGAGGGCCCAAGCTTTTAATGGACCCACTTTGTTATTTAATTATACGCGTTTTTATTTGCCAAGATTTGTGCGCATTTGATTATTCGAGACATTGGGATCAGTTTTGTTCTCATTTCATTGACATAGATTATTTGTCCGTCTCGAATCATGATCTAAAATTTCCTGAAACCTTTTTTCTTTTATTATTATTATTATTTCTTTATATTCTACTTTTTCTTTTTTTTTTTTTTTTTTGTAGAAACAATACCCTCTTATCGGCATTGTGAAAATTTATTGATCGAAGATGCTGAATATGAAAAAATCGAATTTGTTTATTTCTTTTTTCAAGTGTTGATTGAACAATTTTAATTGGACAAGTTATTATCTCTTTTAAGTTAGATATTTCTTTCTGTAGAAAAAAATGTATTTGAATGTCAAATGATAAGCGAAATAACTTAAAAAAAAAA